AGCAATTGATCTTTGTCTCTGCAGCCAGATCAGCCAGAACTGGAACCTGATATTAACTGCAGTTCAGTCAATTTTTTTTAAGACACTCACAGCCAATCTCTTAGCAGAGATAAGAGATTTTTACATGTATACATGTTCCAAGATTAGATATACTAACAAAGAGCTAGGTTACATTAAAGAGAGAATTAGAGTCTATTATTCACTCCAGGATAGGGGTGGCCCCTGTATTTGAGGCTCCATCTTTTCTATCAGCAGCCTACTACAAGCAATAGAAGGGGGGAGGGGTGACGGAAATCTGCAGTCCCATAGCTGATCTGAAAAAGCTTTATCCGCAGCTGACAGATATAGGGTATTTATTTTTCTCTGAAGATGAGACGACTAGAGAACCCAGGTAGAAGGATGGGTTTATGAACACATATTTGTTGTTTGAGGATCCAGGTAAATTTAGTGTATATGTTATAAAAATACAAACGAAAAGTCTAGTCTGTGATTTTAAAAAAGTTGGGAAAGTTCATTAAGATTTATAATAGGTCCCAAATTTTGTAGTCCCGAAGCTTAACGACAGATGGTGGTGTAACTCCACCAATTCTGTAACCTCAACATTCAATTTGACGTTGTAACATAGGTAACCCTTGATTCGACTTCGGCGAAATTAGAATTTTCACTGTTTTCCTAAAATGTGTCTGGGAGGAGAGTGGGGATAGGAGCATGTCTAAAAGGAGTCTGTTTATTTGCTCATCTTCGGAAAACTGTAGTAGATGTGAAAAATAGGAACCTGATATGTGCCCGTTCTTCTGTGTGAAAGAAAAAATTTTACTTCGCATTTAAAGACGTTTGTTACAGGCTATTTGAAGTGAGTAATACAACTTTGAAGCTAGTATCTCTAACTGGAAAAAAATTTTTTTCAAACCTGCCCCTTTTCCCTCTCTCCCAGCATCTCTCCAACAAGTCAGTAAAATTTTAAGTATTAGTCACAATTACACCAATAAAACGGCTCTGAAGAAGAAAAACGTAATTGTTGTTTAACTGCAAGTTTTGGAGAAAACAGACCTGAGTGTATGAATAATGATATTTTTATAACAAATAACTAAAAATCCAAGCGGTTCACTCGGAGAACCATGAAACGTACGGTTCTAACACGCCTCATTCACGTACGTTGCTTTCCTTCATCCTGGCTTTAGTGAGTCTCATTTGGGGTGGTTTATTTCGCGCAAGCTGCGCTGGCAGAGACCATTTCAAACGAATTTATCTTTCGCCTGGACGGTAATAGAGCAGTGTCTTGGAATTTGTTGATTTGCAGTTTCATCGTAAAATAAACTTGAAATCAAATAAATTTTCGTGAGAGAACTTCGAGGTCCACTTGGTGAAACTCCTCAGTTACCCAGTAGCCCCATTTAACTTTCCGCTGAAACCTCTTGAAATGACTTTTGCAGACCCACGTGCTGCAAAAGAGACTTGAGCTGTGGCTCCGACCCTGCGCGGCGACTACAGGGACAGAATTTGGGTTTCCCCCTCTCTCTGATAGGCAGTGTTTCGTTTCAAGGCTGCCGTGATCCAGTGGGCTGACCAGTGACTTGTGCAAAAGAAAACTATTCGTTCGCTGTTTGCCCTTTCAACGTTTTCCTCGGCTGCGGAAACCCGGTTTTCCTATTATTACAGTTCAACTTTTTTTGGAATCTGCTAGCATAGAGCGCTAAACCCCGGCCGGCTCCAGCAGCAGCCAGGCGAACAAAGCCCGCAGTGTTCGGGGCCATGCTGGGGCGGGGGTGGTGGGCGAGTTAAAGGAATTGCAAATAAATATATTTTATGACCACCCATCAACAAACTACGTGCCACCGTGGCAGCCCCTGGTAGCCAGGCTGTGTCTGCAGTGTGGCCAGGGGCGGGGGCTGGGAGGGAGGCGATGGGAGAGGGGGAGCGAGCGGCGAGCCCCGGGCCTGAACTTTCACCTCTCGAACCCGGGCCCAGCCCATTGGCTGCGGGCGAGGGGTCCGCCGAGGGCAGCGGCTCCTGGCAGGACCTGCTTTCTCAACTCCTTGGGCGTCCTCCCTGCGGGAAGGGTTGGTGGCCCGGGGAATGGCCGCAGGCGAAGAAGAGATAATGGGGGCGAAGTTAAGTGGGGGCACAAGGGGCTGCGGGCTCAGCCCCGCTCAGCAAGACGCCTGGCGAGGGTCCGCTGCCAACTTAGAAAGATGTGCTCCTCCGACTGAGATATCCTTTTGCACATCTTGGCGCCTGGCTATTTGTACTCACAGGAAAGAAACGTCAGAGGCTGCGAATTTCACCAAAACGTGTCTTTGTGAATAGAAAAGGGAAAGGCTATCTAAACCCGCTTCTCCAAGTCTTGAGACGGTAACCCTCTTTCTCCTCGTTGGGAACTTGAACTTCTCTTTCAAGTGGCCCAGACTCCTTTATAATCAACCTTTCCCGCTCACTTCTCGGGACCCCTAGGGAGAAAGGGAAGTAAGTAGGGTTGGCGTATACAGGGGGGGAAGAAGAAGGAAAAAAGTGAGAATCTGTAGACCTTTTGACTGTTCTGTTACCTTTATTCACAAACCCTGTGGCAAGGTACATCCTGGGCTCTCCCAGGATGTCGACGCTGTTTTTCTCTTTTTCAAAATAGTTTCAGGTTAATTCAGAGAATCCGCTTTTTATTTAGGTTTGCCAGTGAGGCATAAACGCAAATTACTTAACATAAAATTACCCCCACCTTTCACAAGGGCGAGGTGGGGTCACTTGGGTCTGGCGTTTTCTAATTTTAATGACTGCTCCCTCTTCCTCTCCTCGCTCCCATTTTTTTTAAAAAAACTCGGATTATTTGCCCACTATTCAGCCTGCATTTCGAAAAAGACAGTTTAAAAGAGTGAGGACACAATCCATAAGCAGAGCACTTAAGGACTGCCTGGAGTTTAAAAGCTCAGAGAAAGCACCGCAATTCAAAGCCCAGCTCGACCTCTTCCTCGTCTTCCTGGCAGGCAGGGGCCGTCTTCCCAGGACCAGCCCCGTGGCTTATTGACTCAATTGGTTTCACTATAAAACCTGACAGTGTGTTTACAGATGTGGGTGCCAGGGCTGCTTCCTCCCCGGGAGAACTGCGGGTTCTGGAGGGAAGAGTTGGTGCCAAGTGAGTGTGTGAGCTCGCGTCTGCCCTTTAGAGAAAGGGCGCCCTGCTCTTGGAGGGAAAGACTGAAAGGCAGAAGTTAGTGCTGCTCGCCCGTCTCCCCAGTCACCACCGCCCCCCTTCTGCCACCGGAGATGTTAAAGTTGGCCGAGAAGAAGCCAGGGGCCGGGCTCTGTTCGCAACGGCCTCTCTCGGCTGCAGCTTTGGAGGAAAGTTTCAGCGCCTTTCGGGACGCTCCGCTCCGCGACTGATTTGCGAACTGAGCGGCGGGCTCAAGCTGCCGCGCGCAGGGAACGCGGCCGGTGGAGGGTCGCGCGGCCCGCGGGCCGGGAGACGAGAGACGGCGGCAGGAAACGCCCGCCCGGAGCGGGTGGGGGGAAGGGGCTCCCCAGCAACCTCCCACTCGGATCACACGTCCCATTCGGGCCCGTCTCCTTCTCCCTCTGCCTTTCCCTTGTCATCTCCTCGGTCCCGCGTGGGCCCGCTGCGGGGACACACCCCACCGAGAAGAGCGGGGACCGCGCATCCCCCAGGCTGGCTCCTCGGCTTTGAAGTGCGCGCGGAACGGGCTCTGGCAGTTTCTTCTTTCATTTCATTTCGATTACTTTTGCTCCCCTCAGTCATTGATACAGAGCCCATCTCGAAAGCCTCAGACACTAAAGTCCCAACTCGGCGGCCCCTTCCTTCCAAGCTCCGCAGCCCGGCCCCAGGCCCGTGACCCGGGCTGCGCGACCACGAGGAAGCCCAAGAACTCCAGGGCCCCAGTGAGACAGGAGCCACGACAACAATGAAGAGTGAGAAAGACACTCGGCCTCTCGCCGCCCCAGGCCGCAAAAGCGCACACCGTGAAAAGAAAGGCCAATCAGCGTTTTAACGCACTCTTGGGTTTCCCTCTCTGACTACCATGTACTTTAACTCCCTGCCACCGAGGGCTTTGGATTCCTTCGAGGCTTTCTGCACTTCACGTGGAATCCCCTGTTTCATTTGCCAGCAGCTCCGTCTGCTGAGAGGACGTACTTTGGGGACTGCCAAGAAGCAGCAGACACAACTCGGCTTTGCCAATACAGCATACGGTTTTGTTCTCTCCTCTCTCCCCACCCCCTTCCTCGACTCGCCGTCTGGGCCGAGCGGGAGGAGGCGGAGCAGGAGGTGGGGAGAAGGGTGGGGGTGGGGGAAGATCTGGCGCAGAACAAACAAGTTCTCCAGCGAGTTGTTTACATAGCAGGTGGACCTGACGTCAGCCAGGAGGCTCCACTGCAAATCCGAACAATATTCTGCTCCGCGTTTCCCCCTCCCTTAAAGAAGTTGGGGGACCAGGGGAGATAGGTGGATGGGGGCGACAGGCATACTAACCAGCTGGTTTCACACCACTTTTTGGATCAACAACAACAATCAACAATAACAACGCAAAGTAAAACAAAAACAAACAAGTGGGCCAGCAGTACTTTAGAATCCCCTGAGACATCCCTTCCCCCACCCCGCCCCTCCGAGGAGAGGCGGCTCCGCGCGCAGTGTGTGTACAGTTTGCATTGCCAACAACACGCGCGCGCGGCCGGGTGCGCGCGCCCGCCAGCGCACACTCACACACATAGACACACACATACAGACACACACACACACAGATCCGGGTGGGGGGAGCGGCAGCGCGAGACAGCGCGAGCCTCCGAGAAAGCGCGAGACACGCCGGCGCGTGCAGCTCCTCGGCGGCCGCTGCGCCCCGGCTCGAGCCCCGCGCCACCCGCAGCCTGCCCGCGAGCGCCCGTCCCGGTTATTTATGCAGCGACCGCGTCGGCCGGCTTCGGCTTCCTCCGGCGCCCCCCCCCCCCGGGCGCGCCCCCCACTCGCGGCAGCAGCTGCCGGGACTTGCGCGTGGGTGTGTTGTTTGGGGGCTTCTGCCTCGGCGCCGCGGGTGCCACCTCCCGGGACGCTGCCCAGGCGTCCCCGGTCGCGGTAAGTTTCTTCGCCCTCACTCTGGCGCGCTGCACCTCCGCACCCCACCCCGTCCCAGCCACCTCCACGCCGGCCCGAGCTGCGACTTTGCTCCGCGCTCCTCCCGCGGCGCCGGCGGCGGCGGCAAAGTTTCGCCCCAGCCGCAGCGCTCGGCGCGGCGGGGCGGGTGTGACATGTGTCAAATTTCGGCTCGGCGTCGGGGTCGCGTTCCGGAGCCAACATCGCCACTTGTTGTTCTTTTTCATTTTGCTTTGTGATGGGGGCAGGGAGAGTCGAGAGAGGGGAGATTGCTGTTGGCTCACGGAAGATTTTTAGTTTTGAACGTGCAAAATGTTGCCTGGTCCAGAGAGACCGCGGCTGGAGGAAAATGTGTGTCGAAACACCAGATGTGTGTTTGTTTACTCTTATTTTTGTTTGTTGTCTCTTCCTCCCTTCCCCCCTCCCCCCGGGAGGAGACACAACAGGAAAAACATCTGGCGGTTGGAAGCACACACTTTATTGATCCAACTGCTGACCTTTATTTACTCCGTTGGGCAAGTGCACGCTTCTCGTCTCTAAGTTAGACACTTGAGCGTACGTTTCAGAAGTACTTCTCTGGGAACGAGAGGCGGAGAGGGGACACTCCTGTTTCTCGAGGGAAGAAACTTCTGGCCCCTAGTGACGCTTCGGGATAATCACGCATCTCGCTTGCTGCCCCGGATCACGCTCTCTCCCCTGTCCACAGTTAGCACGACCCGCTCCACCCGGGATCTGTCCTGCTCTTACTTTTATTCCGCTTTGGAAAGGTCTTCTCTCTCTGTGGGTGGGTTTGGGGTGAAATCGCGCCTCACGGTTCTTGGAGGGGGGCACATGCGAGGGGCGCAGACACCTTTCGGAGAAAGGGAGGGCTCCTCAGTTGGCTTTTACCTGTAAGTCCCCGGAGGGTGGGCGGGCGCGCGGGGTTGACTTTGACCCTGGCGGCGCGCGGGTCCCGACGCCCCTTCGCGTTTGCAACGGCGCACGTGTGGCGGCGGCGGCGCGGGGCGACCCACAGGGTGGAGGCGCGCGCCGTCCGCACGTCTCCCGCGCTCCTCTCCCCGCCCCGCAGGCCAGACGGCGCCCCGACAGCCCGACCTAGGTGCTGGCGTCTGTGCCGACCCTCGCTGGCCCTGGGTGCTCGCGCCTGTCTAGAGCAGGGAGGAAAAGTTGCCCTCCTGTCCTCAGACTCAGATCTCTTAGGTAAGTCTCTCAGGGCACCTGGTGCGTGGGGTGACACTCTCTAGAAGGAATGGGAGGGAAAGACACGTGCGAGTCTGGGGTATTTGAGAGCGGAACCAGTGCGCTTTTTGCGTGGGGACGAATCAAGAGAGGCCCAACTGGACGCCGCTTGGGAGGCTCCTCAGACTCCGGAATCCCCAAGGAACCAACCCATCTGTGTATTTGTTTATTCAGCTTTTTAGCCAACAGATTTAAACCACTTAAAGGACAGCTGCTATCTGTAATGCTTCTCTCCCCTCCACCCTCCCATTTTCTCTCACCACATGTTGAAATCCAGTCCAGTCAGTTTCTTGATCAGATCGAGGATTATTCCTCGAGTACTGTTTGCTCCCCAGTGGGCAGGCGTTCGCGGCGCGAAGTGGCCTGGGTGAGTGCTCGGAACGGGCGGGAGAGAGAAAGGGTGAGAAAGACCTGTGGGAGTGTGTGAGATGTGTACATATATAGTCATCATGGATTCAGAAGTGCTTAAAGACCTACCTCCCCTACGCGCCCAGAGTCTACTTGGAAGGATAATTAAGTAGTGGCAGGTAAGCAGAGGGGAGAAAGTGACGCCCTGGTGTCAAGTAGCTGAAGTGGACGGTTTCCAACTGGAAGTATTTGGAGAGATTAACTTTTAGAAAACAAAAGTTTGCCTGGAAGGCACATCTTCGCACACTCTCCTAACTCACATAGTTTGGTTAGGCAGCAGTGGACACCGGAGGGGTGTGTTTTATAACAAGTCTGTATTAGAGGTCAAAACTGAAGCAAAGATGAGCTTACAGATATTTTCGTCTAAAATTTTGCATTGTGGCGTACCTCGGGAAATGTTTTATGTTGTCAAGGGGACTGTTTATCTTTTCTGTCACTATGAGTTATGGATAAGTATATTCTCAGTCTACTGGAATTTTAAAATGTAGTGTTTGTTTAATACTGCTAAACAATTAATTTACAATTTTGATTTATTTGTACATTCATTAATAAAGTGGGTACAAAGTTATTTACACTATGATCATTCGGGTCAAAATTAAATTTCTTTTAAATGAAGGAGCTTTTAAAACTCCTTTTTTCCTTCCTCCTATTTTTATTACTTACTGAGACCCATGCTCAATTGTTGTTCAGTTCAGTACTTCCTTAAGAAACCCATTATTTCAATGTTATATAAAACTAAATGAAAGAAACGTTTCATTGTGGTTGTTACTAACTTTTAAAGAGTTGACTAGAAACCTGATGATACATCCCTGTAGGTAAGTGAGAGAGGACACTCAATTTTAAAAGATCATCTTCAAGTTCACTTTTAAGTACAAGAATACAAGAATTTTTAAGGAAATAATTTTTAACATTCAATTTAAATGAGTACAATAATAAATACTTACTTTTTTGTATATAGATTATTAAAATGTTACCATTACACTACAACGGGATACTAGAATAGAGTAATGAAAGTAAAGTATATACAAATGACAATTATGAGCTATTTTTAACTGTTTTTCAAAATCCCCCAACTTATATTTTGGGATTCAGAGTGATGGAAATTCTAGAATTGAATATTGTTTTCATAGAATTCGTACTCTGGAGTGGAAAGAGACCTTTAATTATATTATGATTTGAATAGATTTATTAATGATTGTGTCTGAGTAAACTGTCATTGGAGTTTTATTTCTTTGTGCTGGTGATAGTACAGTGGTTTTGCTTTAAAAAATTAAATAAGCCCTTGTAATATTCTAGAAACCTAAAATAGGGGGAAATTGTTATATGTGGCACACCATAAAAAGAAGAAAAATGGTGAATATTAAATTTACAGATAACCTGTAATGAGAAGTTATATTCCTTTTGTACAAGCAAAAATTCAAAAACACAAAACAACTCTCTTTGCATAGTGCTTAGAATTATATTTTATGAAAAGTATATTTAAATATGTAAAAATAACTTCATGGTTTGATTGAGACTCCTAGGGCATATAACAGTATAATGAATGTAGCCAGACAAATTTACCAGACATTTTTATTTCAAGAGAAAATGTGAGGGATACAGACCTTAATTACATAAAATCGATATTATTTATGATATTTTAAAGGATTTATAGCTAGCTCTGCCTCATCACCCTTATCTTTTTCTGTGTTGACAGTCTCATGTTAAACCAGCTATTAGTTATAATACTGATAGAAAACTGCATGACGGAAGTGGCCATGTATTTTCTGCCTCTCTGAATTAAATCAGAAAGAGGCCATTGACTTGTAAGAAGAGAATGTCACTAAGTTCTCTTGACATGATCATTGCTAGACAAAATTGCAAATCACAGTTGAATTCAGAAATATCAATTCCATTACAATTACTGAATACTAATTCTTGGCGCACTCAAACTGTTTTTTTTTCTTTAACTTTGTGATAGATGGTAGTACTCTTAGTGATAAATGAATGGATCCAAGATGTTCTAACCAGTGCCCAGATTCATACTGCCCTTTGATAAAAGAAAACCTATTTCTTAAATTAGGCCCAATGAAATCTTAAGATTTGCATAGATTTTAAAAGTAACCTTATTTACGTAGGCTTTAATTCGTAGAGTTCTAACAAACTTGATCAAATCCAACCCAGAAAGATTGGTGTTTATATTCTTAAGGCTTCTGAAAAAGTAATCCAGGTGCTTGAAACTTTCCTTAAACATATTCCAGTGCTCATGGTCTGCAGATAATCTAATGCCTAATTCGAATTTTATATGCCATAGTTTACTTTAGTTATAGTCCTTCTTTAGATGACGTAAATATTTTCTTAGGTCCAACTATTTTTCTCATAATATACTTGGACTCCAGTCATATCACTTCCGTAGTCTTTATCAGGTAAAATAGTTTAAGATCTTTGGAGTTTTTTTTCATGAGGCATAGGTCATTTTTATTGTTTTCTTATGGAGTTGTTCCAGACTTTTAGCTTCTTCAGTTGTTTTTTAGAACCTCCAAGTGGACCCCATAACTATTTTTTTTAATATCTTAACTAAGCATAGTTAGAAGGGTTGTCTGAAAATACCATTACTTTTATTTTTTTTAGTCCAGCATTGGTTATGTGAAAATTCATTACTATTGAATTACATAAATACTCATAGTAGAATATTCTTTCCTGTAGAACATTCTTACCTTGCGAGCATTCTTACCTATTAAAATAAATGGGTACTTACTTCCACTTACTTATTTGCTTCTGCCTTGTCATTACCTCTCAGGTATTTTTATACTCTTTTGCTCTGCCTAGTGTATTTATCCGTTCCCCGCCCCCAATTTTCCAGATGCAACAAAAAAAAACAAAGAGAGTAACTTTGGTGAAATGCAAAGAAATATTATGACTAAGAGGTTAATGTTAGAATATTGAGATGCTGGAGAGAGGTCCTTAGAGAAGATTTAGATTTGTTATGTTCCAACGCTGTTAATATTAAAACAAAAAAATAGACCTATACGTATGTGGTGATTTATTTTCAGTAATAGTATTCATTAAAGCTATTTTTTCTCTAAATGGATGTTTCAGTAATTTGCTGTTTTCTCAAATGTAGTGTTATTAAGTATTGGCCTAATTATTTTTAGGAGCGTAATCTCAATTTTATAACTGGAGTGACTAGGAGTTTGTGTTTATATGTTTTTGCCTACCAGCCAAATTAACAGAGTATATCTGTGCTCTAAAATGAAGAATACTGGTATCACCCCATTTCATTTTTAAAGCAACATTATATTTTAATAATTTGCTGCTTGTGATTCACTTTGCATCCTAACACTTTTTCGTTTTGT